TTTTTCATTAATTTTCTGCTATTCCCTTAAATTGAATATATTTTTCACAGAAAAGAATAATCTACTTGTTTAACACTTCATAATATTTATCTTAAGAGAAGACATTAGAGAAAAGACAGATACAGTTTTCAATGCTATGAAACATCTCTGCATCAGTAAATTGTCACATTTGAACAAAATGTTTTTATTTATATTAAGCACATTCAGGTTAATGCTAAAATCTATTACTATCTTTGTCACTAATGCACCATTTCATCTCCATTTCAATTCTCAGGGTAGGGTGAGAAAGTACAGGTACCCCTACCCTACAGCAATGAAGGAAGGGGAACCCAAATGTGCAGGGCCCTTGAGTTTTTCACAAATGCTGAGTAGCAACAACCGAATCTAGAAAACATCCAAGAAATAGTGACTGAGGAATATAACTAATTCTTTGGTTTTTAAAAGTACTTCAAAATCCCTTCTTTCAAAAGGCACTTCAACTTTAAGAACCTCACAAAGTTAGGCCTACATACTTGGATAAGAAATTTTAGATGACAACATTCAGTACTGTAAATTCTACAGAAATGTGAGCTGTGTAAATATCTTGATTCCTCTTTATAAGAAAATCCTTTGTCCCTGAAACACAAACCTTATTGAAATATCTGAGAAGAATAGCTCTAATCTCAACTGGATTCAGGCAAATTAGCTTTTCCAAGACATTTGCTTCACTGTGAGAGAGGTTTTGGAATGAAGCTCTGAGTGACTTCTGGCGACTCTGGATACCTTCGTTCTTGTATTCAATTGCAGCTTCCAAAGCTTCAATCCCTTCTTCGAGTTGAAAAAGGACATGTTCTTCCTAGATATAATACAATAGAAGCCACTCATTGTAAATGTAGTATAACTTGGCCTTTGTCATATACTAAGACTGTACAATGCTACTTGAGTCTAATAGACATTACCATTCTTTTACTAAATGTTAAGAAAATGTTTATTGAGTGCTTGCTATGCCACACAATGCATGGTGTGTTTACAGAGATACATATAACATATAATCATTGAATCCTCACAGTAAATCCTGGGTAGTAAAATGGAAGAGGCAGAAGCTTAGGTGAATTATGAAACACCCCAAGGTCATAAGCAAATGTTAAGTCGTCAAGGAATACACTAGAACAAAGCCTCAGCCCACAGGTTTGGCAGTATTGTCATCTATCTCCCTCCATGGCTCCTAAAGCGCGTATTATGTGTCAGTGAGATCTGCAGGCGTCCTTCAAGGATCTATCAAAACAATATATTGCTAGGAGGGAAAGAAGAAATAGATTTAGAACAATCTATTAAGAACCAGAAATCAGAGGAGAGTCTCTAGGGAAAAATCACAGTATGACATAAGAAAAAGTAGTGAGGATTTAAGGACATGAAACATTTCATAACATTCTTATGAGATATCTAATAGGAAAGTGTAGGTATCAAAAATGGTGGCAGCATAATCTTTCTTTCATACACTGGAGAAGACTTTCTTTATAGGAAAAAAAAATCTGATGAATTCCTGTCAGAAAACCTAGCAGTTCTCTGAACTATCCAAATAACATCTTAACTGGGGGGAATCCAAATCTCTGGTAAGAAGTTATTTTGGTCGTGGTACGACTTGGATGTATATTTCTGTATACCTGTACTTGTGATGGAGCCCACCTCAACTTTAAGTTCCTCGCGGACAGATGGTCTTGTCCATACTCACATCCTCATTGCCTACCACAGTACATATCACATAGTTTAAACTCAGTATCTGCTGAGTGAGTTAATAAAGGGGGAAGAGAAAAACTTTTTCATATGTCTTGGGTACATGACCCAAGTATATCTCTCCACTTTTCCCCCTAGCATTTCAAAGGAAAATAGTGTTCATATTTCTGATCTACCTAAAGAACAGTTAGAGTGACTTCTGGAACTCCTTTTTTGGAATTCAAGGAAAGGTATGTAATAACCTATTCCAAGGGAGGCTGAATAACACTTATTTTTAAAACGCTATTTTATAAAATTTCCTAAAAGAGCTATTTTGAACAAAAAAGTTCAATAGCCATTTTATTTCTCTGTGCAATCACTAACCATCAAGAATTTGATGATCTGATAATCATTCCATAAGGAAGAAAGTAAGATTCACCTTTTTAAGAAAAACAAACTTAAATCTTGAAAGGAACTTAGATGAATAAAAAGAACCAGAAAATAAAAGTGAATTTTCCAAAGAACATATTTGATTTTTGAATGCATACTGCTATTATATTCTACCAAAAACAAATGTGGAAAGAGTTAGCTTTTATGTATGGCTGAGAACAATTGGTACAAATTCAGTCTCTCTAGTTTCGGATCTAACTTAAAGAAGCACTGAGATAGTATAAGGCAGTATGACTACAGAACCCTGAGGACAGCCCTCTCTAGTAGGGCTGCAGCATATAAATATTTGTGGTTCCATCTAATCCAGCAATAGGTTGTAGGCTGACAAGATGAGTGGCAATGGGAAACTGTCCTGGGATGAAAAATTTGCCACAATTCAAACCATACATTATGAAGAGTTGACTGTGCTTTGTCACTGCTTTTCAGATGTGCACCAGGGATCTTGTTAAAACGCAGACTTCTAGTTCAGCAGGTCTGGGTGGGGCCTGAGGCCCTGCATTTCTAACAGGCTCCTAAGTGATGCTGTTGCTGCTGGTAAAGAGACCACGCTGAGAATAACAAGGATCTAAAGCAGTGGTCTCCACACATTTTAGATCACACATTCCCATCAGTAAAAGGAAACAAAACAAAAACAACTTTTGAGCAAGCACTGAATGTATTTCTTTATAAATTACATGTATTTTCCAGTGCTAAAACATGAAATTAAAAGTTTAAGAGATGAAATAAACATAGATTAATAGTTCATATATGTTCTTCCTATACTCCACTTATTAGGCAACTTCCCTGCATTATTAGAAAAATGGAGTTAGAATATTTTATTTTTCTTTAATTTTAGCTTCTGGATTTTACCCCCAAAAAGGTGATTTGTGTATATTAAATTGTTCATAATCCTGTACTCATATAGTGATCTAAAGTCTTTCTGTCACTTCCCATGAAGTAATACAATTAGAAAAAGTATTCTGATTTATTGTGGAAAGAAAAAATAATTCTAAGCAAGTTTAAAGCCACTAAAACAGGGAGCCATTCCACTTAGATTTTACTCATGTCTTGTGTCACATCAGAATCTCATGTTCCCAATCACCTGCTATTAGCAGATCTACTTGGTACTATTAATCTTGGCTAAAAAGTGGTGAGAGCAGATCCCATTTCAGAGCTATACTAAGAAGAACCAACCACGTGGAAGAGGGTGCACAGAAGATCACATGACTAAATGGAACCCCACCAACGGGAGGAGGCTCGTCCTTCCCTCAAACCAATCCAGGGTGGCTGTCAAATAGGTATCATGCATGGTGCTACATTTCACCACAAAACACTATGTTTTCAATTACAGAATTTCTCATGAAATAGAAACTTAAACGTTTCTTAAAGATGAGAATGGGCCCTCTATCCTTCCGTGAACATAGTTTGCTCATTCCCATCTCTATGCCTTATTTAACAGTGTTCTATCTAAAATGGACTTCTTTCTTAGGTCTACCAATACATACCATGTTTTTCATAATCCAGCTCAAGATTCTGATCCACCAAGGCTGCCTTAATTGAGTCTTCCCCCAAATGATCACTGCATTGCTTTGTATAAATAATGTAGTAAGTATAGCTTTATTACATTACCTGTAAGTTGCTTTTTTATATTCTTCAAGATTTAGAGTTTTCTCATCTTTCTGTCTCTATTCCTCAGATGGAGTATGAGTTCTCAAGAGAAGCATAATGTTTTCTACTTTGTTTCTCCCACAGGACCCAATAACTGACCTGGGTGGGCAAGAATTCCTAAAATATTCATATGTTTTGCTTTTCTTAGGCCCTGAGACCTACAAATCTGCAAGCCTGGGACACCGATTTAACCACCTCGGGAGGACAACCTGATTCTGTGATCCTCTGCAAAGCTACCCAAGTTAAGTTATAAAGCAGGGCAGTGGAACCTTATGTCACATGGCCCCAATCAAGTCTGTCTTTAAATCCTTTCATCAACTCAATGAACAATAATCTAATATCATGAAATCCTTTCCCCTGTTCTTCTTAACCAAACCCCTTAACTACTTACACGTGCCCCAGTCTAAATCACAAGATTCAGTGAGGTGCATGATTCCCAGCTTCTTACTTTTCTCTTAGCAATTTCCCTTGCTTTGGTAATGACAGGAGATCAACTATAAATATTTGAGGAGAAAATCCAGGCTCAAAAGTTCATCTCTGTCTGATAAAGTAAGGTATAAATACTACTGCCAACTGAAGTAAAATTTTTAAAGCAGACAAAGTCTGGGACAATTTGTAGCCATTAATGAAACATCTTTCACATAGTTTAAAAAAAAAAGGTGAAAGAAGCCATATGCTCCCCTAAATGAAAACTCCAACTGAAAGATATTTTTATTGGGGTTTGAATCTTATGCATCTACTTGGCTGGGACATAGTGTGAAATGTGCTCAACATGCTCCTGAACTTTCCGGAAGAATTAACCCATAATGCTGGAGGCATCCATTATAGGTGATGAATTACCTAATACCATTCAAGAAAGATGCACAGAGAGAAGGTAGGTCCCCTCTTTGGAAGAAATGAGAAAAAGAGTCCCTCAAATCATTTTCTGTGTTCTGTGATTTCAGATGAGAAACCCCAGCTGAGAAAGGTCACACTCAAGGGAAGGGTTAGTCTCCCAATCCTGGGCAGTGCCAGGGAGAGGCCGTGTTCACAGACCTCCACGTGAGAACTTACGGTGCCAAACAGGTGCCAGGTAAACTCATTACATCTGACAAAGTCTCAAGGAAACGAAGTTGACCAGATTTGTCATTTTTATGTTTAAGTAACAAGGATGGAGGGAATCATCCAAGTGATCCATCATACAGCACCTCCAGTTCCAAAGAATACTGACTTACTTCCGGTGATAACACGCTACCATTTTTAAGTTTCTCATCCACGCTGTCTCTTCGTCTCTGCAGCTGATCCTTTTCTTTCTGGAGGGCTTGAACTTGTTCTGAAATCTTTATTTTCTCCTCAGCTGTGCTGCTCTGGAGCTGTACATTCTTTTCAGACAACTCTTGGTCCAACAAGTTCAGGCGAGTTGCTATTTTCAAACTGTCTGTGTTTAAAGCCTAAAATAGACAACCAATCAGACATGGCAAAGACAGTTACTAGAAGTCCAGGCTGTAAATAAATTAGGAAAAACACAGAGAAAATTACATGAATATATTTTTAGCTTCTACATTATTGTTTTCTCCCATGGATTTTTGGCGGGGAGGGGCTTCATTTTCTAAAATCTTGAGTTGAATGCCTTTTTTAAAAAAAAATGGAGATTCAAACAATGAATTTAATACCAAGTGTACTTGGCCATACTTGACCGGACTATACAACACAGGTTTTGAGATGCAGTATTTTTCTTTTTTACTATTTTCTAAATTAAATTTTTCTTCCTTGGCCTATTACATGGTAGAATTAATTATGTTAACATTTCCTAGAGGTTGACATTTCATTTGTTGTTTAAACATTTAATTTGTCTCTACACTTATTTCATTCTGTTGGATTAATAGAGATGGCCAGTTAGATACATAGAGATCTTCATTATGACCCACTTTAAGATAATCTTAAGAAGTTTTTCATCAAAGTAATTATATGTATATACCACCGTAAGCCTTATAGTATTTTTTTTAAAAAAGCAGCCTTCCTTTCACCTGAGTCCTGCTCCCTAGAATCAACCATCTTCAGCCTATTAAGCTATTTCTTCTGGTGTTTATGTCCATTATTGTAAATAACATTACCAATTTAAGACATTGTCTGCTGACTGTCTATTAATGGAAAATAAGGATTTAGCACACTTATGCCCCCTCTTCTATACTTCCCCTCCCTCTATTCTCCAAACATAAGTTAAATTACAGTTTTTAGTAAAATCAATATTCGGTTTACATGACTTTGTAAACATTATTCAAAACTGAACATAGCATAAAATGACCATATTTCCATCTGAAACAACTTTTTTGGTAACTTATAACTAATTCTTCTCCAACAGAACTATTAAATTCCTTTCAACATTATTTTTTCAATTGATCAAAACTTAAATTAGGAAATCTCATTCCATTCTTTTCTGGAAATGTTTTGCCTGGAGTCTCCATCCTCCTGCTCCAAACTAGATTAGTTGTTTCTGGACTACCTTTGGCATTATTTTAAAATTTCCTACGTTAGATCACATTTTTAGGATCCTGAGTCTTCCTTTTCCATAGTTATGCCCACCTCTTTAAGGAGCACATCTTCTGGCAGTTTCCTGAGGCAGGCTAGGTAGTAGATAATATTTTCTCCTGAAAATGTCCTTATTCTACCTTCACATTTGATTTGATAGTTGGGCTAAAAAGTGAATCCTTGATTGGAAACAATTTCCTTATGATTTTAAAGACTGCTTCAGGTCTTTTAACTTCTAATGAAGAAGGCTTCTGAGAAGTCCAGTGCCATTCTGATTCTTAAGATTTACAAGTGGCTAGTGTTTTCTATCTGGAAGCTTTCAGGATCCTTTTTTTTCCTTCGTGTACTCACAACTTCACAATGATATGCTTTTGGCACTCATTTTGCTGGGCCCTTGATGAGCTATTTCAACCCAGAGTCTCAT